CTTTGGATAATTCTGTCTAAGATACATAAAATAACAAGCATTTATTTCTCATTCACATACATGGAGGTTGAGAATGGAGGGCTCTGCATTAGTTTTAACTGGGGTGGCTCTGCTCCACATGCTCTTTCTAGGGCCCAACTGAGGGGTAGCAACTATGCAAAATGTTCTCTTGGCAATGGTAGAAATGCAACTTAGCCACTTAGACTATAAACCTCAGCTTGTGTCTCATCTGCAAACATCTCTTTGCCCAAAGGAAGTCATGTAGCCTAGCCAAAGGTACTCAAGATAATCTGCCCATCATGAGTCCATAGCAAGGATATAGATATATATTTTTAGTATAGAGGAATGAATAATTGAGAGCACGAATTCAGTCTACCAATGAAGGCAGTATAAAAAGAAATAGGACTTTGAGTATAAGAAAGGATTTGTTAAACAGAATGTAAACATCACACATTATAAAATAAATGTTTGATAAATTTGAACATATTTATATATGGTATAGTCGTGCATTGCTTAACAACAAAGACTTTAATTACATCTGGGAAATTCATTGTTAGGCAGTGTTTCTTGTGCAAACATCATGGAGTGAACTTACACAAGTCTATATGGTATAGTCTACTACACACCTAGGCTATATGGTATAGCCTTTCTCTTCTGGGCTATAAATTTGTAGAAAACATTACTGTACTGAATAATGTAGGCAGTGGTAGCACAAAGGTAAGTGTTTTAGTATTTAAACATATCTAAACAGAAAAGTACGATAAAAGTACAATATAAAAAATTTTTTAAAGATACATCTGTTAAGGAAACTTAGGAGTGGAGCTTGCAGGACTAGAAGTTTCTCTGGGTGAGTCAGTGAGTGAGTGGTGGGTGAATGTGAAGGCCTAGGATATTACCATACACTATTGTAGACTTTATCAACACCGAACACTTAGGTTACACTATGCTTATTTTTTAAATGTTTGTCTTCTTTCCATAATAAATTAACCTTAGCTTACTAAGCTTACTTTTTAATTTTATAAACTTTTAAATTTTTTAAAGCTTTTTGACCCTTTTGTAATAACTTAGCATAAAACACAAACATTGTACAGCTGTACAAAAATATTTTCTTTATATCCTTATTGTGTAACCTTTTTTTCTATTTTGAAAAATGATTACTTTTTTATGACCTTTTAAAACATTTTTTTCCCAAAACTAAGACATAAGAACACACATTAGCTTATGCCTACACAGGGTCAGGATCATCAGTATCACTATCTTCCACCTCCACATCTTGTCCCACTGGAATGTCTGTCTTCAGGGACAATAGCACACATGGAGCTGTCATCTTCCTAGGATGTCATTGCCTTCTGGATACCTCCTGAAGGACCTGCCTGAGGCTGGTTTACAGTTATCTTCAAAAAATAAGTAGAAGGAGTACACTCTGAAGTAGTAAGTATAGTACAATAAATACATGAACCAGTAACAGTTGTTCATTAAGTATTATGTATTGTACATAATTGTATGTGCTATATACTTTTATATAACTGGCAGTGCAGTAGGTTTGTTTAACCAGTGTCACTACAAACACGTGAGTAATGCATTGTGCTACAACATTATGATGGCAGCAGTGTCACTAGGCAATAGGAATTTTTCAGCTCCATTATAATCTTATTGGACCCCCATCATATATGTGGCCTGTTATTGACCAAAGTATTATGTGCCATGTAACTGTATTTCTGATTATCTAAAGCCAGTATAATGAAAGGAGAAGATAATTTATGGAAAGAAGATTTCTATAAGGCCAGAGTATAAGTATAAGCCATAATCTGGGAGAAGAAATTTGCTACACGTGTAATTGATAAAGGGTTGGTATCTAGAATATACGTTCATTAACACGTTTATAACTCCTTTAAATCAACAAGACTAAGAAAAACAAGCTGTTTTTGGTATGGGAAGATGGGGATAGGTGGTGTGGGAAGGTGGGGCTAGGAATTTGAAGGAAGAAGTATAAATGGCTCCTAAACAAACAAAACATGTAACTTCACTTATGATTATTTAGATGATTAAATAATTTGATAAAAGATTAATTAATAAATTTTTAATGAAGATTTCTATAAGGCCAGGCACAGTGGCTCACACCTATAATCCCAGCGCTTTGAGAGGCCGAGGCAGTGAGATCACCTGAGGTCAGGAGTTCAAGACCAACCTGGCCAACATTGTAAATCCCTGTCTCTACCAAAATACAAAAATTAGCTGGGTGTGGTGATGGGCATCTGTAATCCCAGCTACTTGGAAGGCTGAGGCAGGAGAATTGCTTGAACCCAGGAGGTGGAGGTTGTGGTGAGCCGAGGTTACACCACTGCACTCCAGCCTGGGCAACAGAGCAAGACTCTGTCTGAAAAAAATAAAAAATTAAAAAAAGTAAAATAGAAAATAAAGATTTCTGTTATACTGCTGTCATCTGAACCCACTAATCAATGTGTGTATATACCTGTGTAACGATCCTGCACCATCAGCACACGTACCCCAGAACTTAAAAGTATAATAAAAAAAAAAAAGTGGGAAAGACAATCAGTTATGTGTCTTGTGTGATATACTATGAACTACACAGCCTTACTTATGAAATATTATCAAAAAGACCAAAAATATTGAACCCAGATCTAATGAAGCCTTAAAGCCTTTAAATCTTTCAGTTTAAAGAAAAATGAGGACAGGACATTAAATGGCACCATTAAAAAGTAGTCAACAAAGGCCGGGTATAGTGGCTCATACCTGTAATCCTAGCACTTTGGGAGGCCAAGGTAGGCAGATCTTTTGAGGTCAGGAGTTCAAGACCAGCATGGCTAACATGGCAAAACCCTGTCTCTACTAAAAATACAAAAATTAGCTGGCAGTGGGGTGGCTGAGGCTGAGTTTAAAAATCTGTAAAATTACATACTACATAAGTTCATTTGTATAAATTTAAAATAAACAGGCAAAATTAATCTAGAGCGTTAAAAGAATAATGCTTACTCTTTATCTGGAAAGGGGATATGCGGGTAGTTTCTGGGGTACTGGTAACGTTTGGTTTATTGTTCTGTGTGCTGGTGACATAGATATGTTCACTCAGAAAATTCTTCATGCTGTACGTTTATTTTATGTATTTATTTTGTATTTTAATAAAAAGTTTCCCAAAATGTTTAAATGCATAGGGGTATGTATAGAATGGGCTTCCATTTATGTAGAAAAGGGAGGAATAGGTTATTTATACATGCTTGCTTGTGTGTATGTAAAATATCTGTCCAAGTTATGTAAGAAAGTGACAGTGTTGGTTGCCTGGGGTGGCAAAAGACGATGGGGGAAGATTTTTTGAGATCATAAAAGATGGACACATCTTATACTTTATGCATCAGAGCTCCTATAAACTGTTCTTAACCATTACTGATTTTATGTTATAAGAACATAGCTTGGTATATCATTTGTACCCAATTTTAGATAAGATTGTACATGAATTAAACTGATAAAATGGAATCAATGCTATATGTTCATGTAAAGCTTGCAGATATGTGAATATATTGCATAGAAATATTTTCTCCCCCCCCCACTTTTTTTTTTTTTTTGTTTTATAGGGACAGGGTTTTGCTCTGTTGGCCAGGCTAGTCTCACACTCCTGATCTCAGGTGATCCACCTGCCTCAGCCTCCCAAAGTACTAGGATTACAGGTGTAAGCCCGGGCTTAATTACAGCAACCGGGACTGTGAAGATGCTGTTAGCTGAAGACATTTAACTAGCCCACTTCTGAAAGGATAAAGTAATTTAGGTGCCAAAAAAACTAAATGCGTATGCTTACTATCATTGTTTAACAGCTGTTACCAATCAACGTGGAGACTTTGTTTAGGTATGAAGCACTAATTTCCAGGGGTCAATGAAACAACTTTGATTTCTCATGCTGATTTTTGACTCTAGGCTTCTCTGTTTTAGTTCCTCACAAATGGGTTTTATGTAGGAGTCAATGAACGGTACATGCACCATCTCTACCTGCCCTACCCTCTACTTCTGAAAAGACTGGTTATTACCAAGATTATTTCTTGACAATTAGCAATCCAACATAAATTCTTGTAATTGATGCAGCTGGCTGTTTGATTACATTTGCTTCTGAATGAAAATGAACATGTTTATTTAAATAATTCTGATTTGGTAGCCACCTCGAGTAAGTAGAAGCAACTGATGAAGTACTTACCTTGCTCTCTGTTTCTTTTCCCTCTGTTTTAGCATTTTGTCTTTCTTCTCTGGTGGTTTTTTTGTTTGTTGTTTTTCAGGTCTATTTCTGTCAAGGCTTTTTTTATTTTTATTTTTATTTTTTCGTTTTAAAGCATTCTGTCTCTTTTCTATCTGGTTTTATATATATATATATATATATATACTCACACACACACACATACATACATACATGTATCTATATAGGTATATATTTTCTTCCTGCCTTCCTTAAAAAAGAAACACCACCTACCTGGCTTTAGAGCAAGAAATTATCTGATTGAATTCTGGCAGTTTCCTTTTAAAAGAAATTCTTCTTAATGATGTAAACAGGAAAATTTTAGTTTAGAAGACTAAAAATTATTTATGTATGTATATGGGGAATCTGTTATTAGTCAAGTTTATGTCTTTTATTTCCTAAAGTCATTCTGTATATGATTTTTTAAATATATATATTTGTATTATTTCCATGGAAATTTCTGGATCATTTCCAAAGGACTTCCTTAAAAGGTATTGTCTGTGGCAGAGTGAGACTTCTTAAACTGATGATTTGGATGCCTTTGCATGTATTAGGTTCTTTCTGACCTAAACTGAAAATAATTATACTGTAGGGATATTATTGTCTGCTGTATTGATTGTTGATATGTATACACATATCTGATCCAGAAAAGGTACAGAATTTTTAATGTATTCCTGTGTCTCTTCAATTTTCTGTTAACCCAGGTCCTCTGACTTTAATTGATCAAGATGTTTCGTTTTTCTCCTTCCCATATTTATGATAGGTGGAGGAGTTACTGATGGCCATGGAGAAAGTAAAGCAGGAACTAGAATCCATGAAAGCAAAGCTGTCCTCTACCCAGCAGTCTCTGGCAGAAAAGGAAACTCACTTGACTAATCTTCGCGCAGAGAGAAGGAAACACTTAGAGGAAGTTCTGGAGATGAAGTAAGTGTTTGTAGACTTATTCTTCAAGCACATGCTTAGTGGAAATACTTTTTCTCCCCGCATTCATCTTCTGGCTCTGTTTATTACCACAATACACTTACTTAATTTTAATGCTAACTTGTATTTCTCACTCTCTACAATAAATTTGGTCAAAGGTGGAACAAATCCTGGTCAAATAGAAAGATGCAACCTTGTCTCTACTAAAAAGAAAAAAAATTAGCCAGGCATGGTGGCATGTGCCTGTAATCCCAGCTACTCAGGAGGCCGAGGCAGGGGAATTGCTTGAACCGGGAAGGTAGAGGTTGCAGTGCCACTGTATTCCAGCCTGGGCAACAGGGTAAGACTCCATCTCCAAAAAAAAAATATATATATATATATATTTGGCTCCTCTTTAATGAATTTTAAGTCTTCTGACATATACATATCTGTATATAATTACCTCTCTGAAATTCCTAAGATCTCCTGGAAAGTTCAGGCAAAATGGTGAACTTACTGGGGAAGAGGGCTGTTTGTTCTGAGGTCATATGAAGACTAGGCAATTTTTAAACACATTTCTTATTGTAAACTTTTCCAAAGATACACACAAGTAGAGAGAATGAACTCCCATATACCTATTTCCAAGATTCAGCAGTTAACATTTTGTCACACTGGAAGCAAATTTTTAGAAAATTGTCACTTTTAGCAAAACTTTGCTATACAACATTTTCCTACTCCCCCCACATTTTATGGGTTGCTAAGACTATAATCTGTTATGAAGCATGTAAACACCTGCTCATACATAGTAGATGTTTCTTTTTCTTCTCAGTGACCTTCTGTTTAAAACAAACATGTCTCTTTGAATATCCAGTTGTACTCTCTCATTTGCCAGTCGTAAACCTTCCCCTTACCTAAAGACCCTACTCTTATTTTTACTGAAACCAGGTCTATCCTGGGATCCCTCAGTTACCTTCATTATATCAGCTTTATTTTTGTTATCTTCTTTTCTGTCTCAGAGGAGAGGTTTTTTTCTTCTTCATAAGGCCAGATTCTTACTTCTGTCACAGATTTTAAGTCCCCACCTGAGCAGACTTTCGCTGTCAGTTCTCTCTTACATAATCCTTGCTCACTTCTCTTCATAAATACACAGTCTGTCTTTGGCCTAAAATAAATTTTTTCACTCCAACAGTGCTGTAAACTGACATCAGTTTACTTTTCTACTATGAGGTGTAAATAAACTTTGAATACCTGAATAATAGAGCAGTAGAGGAGCTTGCCATGATACCCCGTTCATGAATTCTCATGGGACACAATGATGGCGATATAGTGACTGGAGTCCAAGAATGTTGAGGTGTTTGTTCTCTGTGCGTACAGGTTCCTGGGCTACAGTGCAAGGCCAAGGGATTCTTTCCTTTTAGAAAAGCATTACAGGTAATATGTCTTTGAAGTAATGAGTAAGTGAAGCCAGAAGTGGATTGTTATACAGGGAGAATTTGGAGAGGTTAGGGTTCTGCGTAGCATCATGAGAAAAAAGCTTGCAAATTTCAGAGGAGAAAGGAAAGTCCTCCCTATGACTATTGGCAGTGACACTAGATTCTTTACTCTGTAGTCATTGAAGGATCCACCATATTTTAAAGGTTTAAAATATTCAGTTATTGATAATTGAACAAGCAAAAAGACTTCTCTTCCTAGAGTTCTCTACTTAGAGAACTTAAGAGGTAAAAATATGAGGGGAATGAAATGTGCAGGGAGACTGAAACATGCATATGTGTGACTCTGGATCTAGAATAAGAAATAGTCTTTCCTGAGGAAAAGGTAGTTGGCCCATTTGTATAGAAAATTCTTCAGCAAAGCACTAGAATAGCCTTGTTTTCTAGAATAATCCTGACCTCATCAAGCCGAGAGAAATGAATTAATAGTTATTTTCCATTCCTAGCATATATTATTGTAATTTTTGAACGTCTGTTACAGATAAATGGTGACCATGAGTTTGGGGAAACGTAAAACGGTTCACTTGGTAGCCTGCCAGTGGTGCATTAGAAACATTTGTGTTGGTTAGCCAGCCCTGAAGAGAAGGAACATTTTTATTGGCAGATCCCGCAGTGGTTCTTCTCTTCCTTATGCTGTGGGTTTGTTAACCATTACTTTTTTATTCCACTTTTATGTTAGCCTTTTTCCCTTAAGAAAGAAGGATAAAAGGGAGCAGGGGAAAAATAATAAAATAACAACTCTAATAACTGTAATAAATTTTAAGTATCAGTTGAGGTCATGAGGTTCACCATTAAGAATTCTAGATGAGCTAGTTCATTTGACACTGCCCTGCATTCAAACTCCTCCTGCAGTCCCACCCTACATTAGCATTCAGAATAGAGCTTACAAGATCCATTTTTTATTTTTAATAAAATTTTTATTAAGCTATGAATTTGACTGCCCTGAAAATTGGTTTGTTCAGGGAAGGGATGGCAGAGCTCTTTGGCTTCATTGAGAGTTTAGAGCTATTCAATAGGTAACCTCCTATGTGCAGGCAGTTCCTATATGACTATTCAAACAATGAAATGAATGCGTAGGAGTTAAACAAATCATTATACTGATTGGGAGCTTAAAATAAATAAATATAATTTAAAAGGCAATGTCAACACAGATGAAAAAGGAAAAATGTTAGAATCTCCTGAACTGACTAGACAGACATGTTTAGAATACTGGTCTTCTCTGGAAACAAGTAAAGCTGGCAGAGAAATCCAAATATCTGTGTGTTAAATTATATACTCATTAGATGCTTTTTGGCTAAAAAAAGGTCTCCCACATCCAGAGAATACATTTTCCTATATAACTAAGAACAGTCCAGTACTGTCATCTGAATTCTGACATTTAAAAATTTTTGACTGTTAGGAGAGAAAAGTAGAGTACAGTCGCGATTAAGAGAGCTATTAACAGGCTGGGGCAGTGCCTTATGCCTGCAATCCCAGTACATTGGGAGGCCGAGGTGGGCGGATCACCTGAGGTCAGGAGTTGGAGACCAGCCTGGCCAACATAGTGAAACCTCATCTCTACTAAAAATACAAAAATTAGCCAGACATGGTGGCGGGCACTTGTAGTTCTAGCTACTCGGGAGGCTGAGGCAGGAGAATCTCTTGAACCTGGGAGGCAGAGGTTGCAGTGACCCAAGATCTTGTCACTTGTACTCCAGCTTGGGTGACAGAGCGAGACTCCATCTCCCAAAAAAGAAAGAAAAAAACAGAGCTGTAAAACGTAGCTATTGGAAAATATTCAGGCTATTTGGGGAAAGTTATAGTTGGGTGATCACTCTGTTATGCTTCAAATAATTAAAATGAAACTGTATTTTGAGTTTTTTTATCTTCTTATATCCTGTAGTAGTTTAAAAAAATTTTGGCCAGGTGTGGTGGCTCACTCTTGTAATCCCACCACTTCGGGAGGCGGAGGCAGGTGGATCACCTGAGGTTAGGAGTTCGAGACCTTCCTGGCCAAAATGGTGAAATCCTGTCTCTACTAAAAAATACAAAAAATTAGCTGGGTGTGGTGGCATGCATCTGTAATCCCAGCTACTCGGGAGGCTGAGGCAGGAGAATCATTTGAATCCAGGAGGCGGAAGTTGCAGTGAGTCAAGATCGCACCATGTGCGATATCAAAAAAAAAAAAAAAAATTGTAGGGTTGCTGACATTCAAAAAAATCTCATTGGGGGATTTATGACATAGTATTCTAGATTAGCCACAAAATTGTAAATAGTTATTCAAATTATATCCTAGTGACAATTTAGGGGGGAAATAAAAGTGAAAATGCATTCTGAGTTATATAAGAGCATGTAAACTCATCACAAAGCCATGTTTATTTATACTTCCACCAAAAGACATTTTTTTTTAAGCCTGAAGACATATGATGAAGAACTTTTAGTGGACTTGGGAACATTTTTCACAGTGGGCTAGAATACTGAGGTTAAATGTTCTGTAGGAAACCCACATAAATTAATATAAAATTATTTTATGCTTGAAAAAGAAAAAATATGTTGTACAGTATAGCTCTAAACAAATAGCATTAGTAGGTCTGGGGCTAGTTAAAATTATAAAGCAAAGTTTATATCTACAATCAACTATCCCTTGGGACTTCTCAGTTTTGCTTAACTCTCTCATTCTGCTCCCCTTTTTTCTGCCCTGATACTCAGTGCTCTTATATGGCCCACCCTATAGAAATTTTTTTACTTTCTTGTGACCTGAATTAGAATAAATTACAAATAACCCTAAAGGCAAGTCTCCTTGCCTTTCTTCTTCTTTAAATTTTAAACTTATTCCACATTTTATCTTTTTAAGATCAGACATAACTTCCAAATAGAAGAAACCACATTTTTTAAAGAAATCCATGCTTCCTAATGTTTTTTTTTGTTTTTGTTTTTGTTTTTTTTTGAGATGGAACCTCACTCCGTCACCCAGGCTGGAGTGCAATGGCACAATCTCTGCTCACTGTAACCTCTGCCTCCCGGGTTCAAGCTATTCTCCTGCCTCAGCCTCCTGAGTAGCTGGAATTACAGGCGTGTGCCACCATGCCTGGCTAAATTCTTATATTTTTAGTAGAGATGGGGTTTCACCATGTTGGTCAGACTGGTCTCGAACTCATGACCTTGTGGTCTGCCCGTCTCAGCCTCCCAAAGTGCTGGGATTACAGGCATGAGCTACTGCGCCTAGTCCCTAATGATATTTTTATGTAAAAAACCTCAAGTGGCTGGAATAAGGTCTAAGTAGCAAATAAAGAACTAAACTTTTCAAATAAAGGTCCCCAAAGTCCCTTTTGTTTTCAACTTTCACAGTTCTTTCTCTCCTTCTGTCAATATATGGTTCATATGTAAAAATGTGCTTACCTGTGTAGGGATGAAATTAAGAATGTCTGTCATCTCCTCTTCACAAGAGGAAGCAAGTGAGATTATTGTCCTACTTTTTCCTTATCTTTTCCTTTTTTCTCTGCTGGAGTTACAGGGTCAACCTTGATCCCTTTTGTTAAATATAAATGAATCATT